TCCTCTCCTCTCCCCCTTCCCCTTCCCCTTCCTCTTCCTCTTCCTCTTCCCATTCCATTTCTATTTCTAAAATTTATTGGCCGCCCATCCTACCATAATGTAACTCTGTGTGTCTTACACTGATATATATTATACAATGAAAACATAAATAGTTATTCTATTCTATTCTATTCCATTCCATTCCATTCAATATCTTTCGGTTCTCTGTTCCGTTCCGTTCCGTTCCGTTCCGTTCCGTTCCATTCTATTCTATTCTATTCTATTCTATTCTATTCTATTCTATTCTATTCTATTCTATTCTATTCCATTCCATTCCATTCCATTCCATTCCATTCCATTCCATTCCATTGTGTACGTGTATTTCTCTCTCTCTCCCTCTCCCTCTCTCTCCCCCCTCCCCTGGTGAACTTCAGGATCAAGTCAATTTCAATTTCCTTAGTTTCATAGTAATTAAGTGCAAAAGAATGGTCATTCTTAGCAGGTTCCCGTTTCTTCTAGATCTAGAACCTGTTCACTTCAGTGCCCTAATGCTGATTTGCGTATTTCTGGAAATGTAGTATTTAGAACAGGAAGTGGCTCATGAATATGTCCCACTGGTTGGTTAATTGGTTGGTTGGTTGATTAGTTGGTTTGTTCATTTGTTCATTCATTCATTCATTCATTCATTCATTCATTCATTCATTCATTCATTCAAATAAGGGTCTCCTGAATATAGTCCCATTGATTCATTGACTGATTGATTCAAATAAATGGCTTGTGAATATAGGCCCTTTTCAGGAGCAGACCGCACCCCAAATGCCACACCCATCTCCCTGTCCACGGAAGGTCTGAGCCATACCCAAAATACTAAGAGTGGTCCTTTCTGGATGGAGTACATAAGAAACAGAACGTTCCGGGAATTGACTACTCCGTTTTGGCCATTGCTATTTCACAGAGCTGTTTGAACCTTTCCTTGGCTTGATTTTCCACGTTCGTACAAAATCCGGGGGACTTCTCCTTGACAGCATTGCGCAAGTAAGACATGTACAACCACAATGTCAATGCGTAGCAGACTCAGCAGAAGTCACTCCAGGATCCCGTCATAAAAACAGCGGTGCAGAAAATATCCCCGTATTTTTGAGTGAAAAAAGCATGAGAAGAAAATAGGTCGGCACATGTATTCCTTGAGTGAGATGGGCATCCCACAGAGAGACATAATACTCTGCTAAATCCACCACTGGTTCGCACATCATGATAAACCGTGTTTCAGCATTATGTGTCTTTGCTTCTTTCTATTCTGACAAAAGGATGAAGAGGCAACTGTCATCATCATACACTTCCATTTTCACTTCATTAATTTTGTGTGAAAAAAGGACGGGGGTTAATTCCCGTCATATTTGGATCTTTTCTCTAATATTAGAGAAGACAGTTTGTAGAGTTTTACTTATAATTAAATTACGCTATTGTGCTGAGAATTATTGGTAAACAAGTAGAAATAATGTAGAGGAAGAAGTTCCTAAGGGCTGTATTTTTTTAAAAGTAATTTTTAAAGAGATTATAATTGTCGTACTGTACAAGCTAAAGGAAGCTTAGAAGGTACAAAGAAAAAGAAAATATATATATAAAGGTGTTGGAAGCCATGTCCTTCTGGGTTCAGTTCAGGGGTGAGTTCTAAATTTTTTTACTACCAGTTCTGTGGGCGTGGCTTATTTTGTGGGCGTGGTTTGATGGTCATGTGACAATTCTTTAGGATTTAGCAGAGGTACTGGTCTACCAAGCTTTTAACTGCTTGCAGAGCTGAACCGGTCTACCCATTTGTTCTTGGAGCGTTCCGGTGGAGGCACCGGTCTACCCATTTGTTTTTCGAGGCACTGGTCTACCACCACACTGCCTTTTAACACTGATCAGCTGTAGGGCGGCCCTTTGAAGCCCCACGGCAAGAGTTTAAACAGCTTTTTTCCTTCTAGCCGATCAGCTGGGACTCAGGAGGAAGCGAATAGATTGGGGGCGGGGCCAAATAAAAGGTAAGAATAACGTGGGGGGTGGGTGGGAGGCCCCAGCTCCCGAACAAAGAGAACCGGTTTGGTGATGTCATATTGTCACTGCTACCGGCTTGGCCGAACCGGGCCGAACCGGGAGGAACCCACCACTGGTCAGTTCCAAGTGGGGAAAAAGACACTGGAAACATGGTGGCTGCTTAGAAAGATGATTTTTAACGGTGGACAGGATCACATGCCTTGAAGATCTTGGGTGAAGAGAAAAAAGGAAGAGATGCTGAGCTTTTGGATTTGAGCTTGTATTCTGATTGATTGTCAGACTCCCATGAGGCCATGCAGGGGTAACTTTGTAGGTTGTGTTTTTGAGTCCCAAGCTTGGTTGACTTTTGCTGGGTGATGATGTAATGAAGGGGCTTTGGGCAATTCCTACTATGGCTCTGCCTGAAGGATGTAGATCTTTGTTATATTGAATAGACTGGCCTTAATGGCTCATTGACAAAGGGGGGGGGCTGAGTTTCTGCCTCCCTTTTAGGGGAAATATTCTGCCCTTTAATATCTCCTAAAATATTTCATATTTCTAGGAGAGGGGTAGGTGCTAACTTCCTACAAAGGAAAGAAAAATAAGAATATAGAAAAAGGAAAAGGAAAGAAATATATATTCCCAGGTTTTCATCACAAGTATAACAATTTTAGTAACATTTCACGACCTCTTAAATTCTAACCATGATCTCTTCATTTCTTATCTATAAACAAATTGATAAAATATCATCACTTCAGTCTTGGTGTCAAGAGTTCATTAATGGTTGCCAGAAATAACATACGTATTTTTCCTTTAATAAAAAAAAAACAACTGTAAAATTCCTTCATTGTACTCTTAACAGTCTTAATCTTTATTCCATTCAAGTAATTCAACATTCAGGTAATGTTCTAGAACGCAATTTCTTTTCATTCTTTTTTTACCCTTCCTCACAAGATTCAACTTAGCTTTAGAAAATCTCTTTTGTAAATCCAATATAAAAGAATTATCCAGGTTACTCGGCTTATTTGTAATTCACTTTTGATTAACATTGGCATTAACTGGTTCAGTTTAACTGGTTTAATCAGCATTAACAATTTTTTATATGCCCAGTGAAACATCTTTTTCTATGTCATTGTGTAAACTTCTGTTTGTAGATTTACCCCTTGTGTCAACTCTGTCTTGTCAAAACATTTTTTGCACAGTCTATCCATAGAAGCAAACATCACTCTTGACATTGTCAATATTAACTTCTGATTCCAGTTTTCAAAAGTATCTTTCAGTATTTCAGTATTTCCAATGTTATAATATTCTATGCCAGCCATTCAGTCTTCTTATTTACTGATTGATTGATTGATTGATTCGATTTATATGCCGTCCTTCTCCGGAAACTCAGGGCGGCTTATAATGCGTTAAGCAATAGCCTTCATTCTTTTGTATATACCTGCTTAGTAGGGCTTTCGCCCCCCCCCCAAGCGGTGTTCTTTTTTATACAAATCAGCTTATTGCCCCCACAATCCGGGTCCTCATTTTACCTACCTCGGAAGGATGGAAGGCTGAGTCAACCTTGAGCCTGGTGAGATTTGAACTCGCAGTAATTGCAGGCAGCTGGTGCTACTTAACAGCACTTTAGTCCGCTGCACCACCAAGGCTCATGTTCTTTAATTAAGTTCTTTAATTAAAGTTCTCTCTAATATCTATTTTTTGAAATTGTTTACCTCTTTTATATTAAAAACAAGCCAATCTCCCATGAGAAGAATCCTTATAATTAATTCCCAAATTTTATTTCAAATATCTAGACCCTTCCTTCACTCTCCTCCTCTCCCTCTCCCGTTTCCCTTTGCCCATTCCCCTCTGTCATTTTCCCCTTCCCCTTCCTATCTCCTTCACTTCCCGTTTATCCCTCCCCCTCTCCTCCTTCTCCCTTCCCTCTCCCCCACCCTTCCCCTTCTTCTCTCCCTTTGCTCCCCCTCCCCTCTTCCCCTTCTTTCCTCTCCTTCCTCACCTGACCCCTTCATAGTCCCTCCCCTTCTTTGTGCCCCTCCCTTACCTTCTCTCCAGTTCCCATTTTCTCACTCTCCCCCTCACACACTCCTACTCTTTCCCCTTCTGCCCTTCCATTTTCCCCTCCCCCACCCTCTCCCCCTTTCATTCCTGTCCCACTGCCTCCTCCCCTCCCTCCCACCCTCCCACTCTTCCCCTCCCTCTCCCCATCTTCCCCTCCCTCCCTTTTTCTCTCCTCCTCCACCACTTGCTCTACCACTCCCCTCCTCCACTCCCCTCCCTCTCCTCTCCCTAACCCTCCTCCTCATGATCCCCCTTTTCTTCCCCTTCCCTATTCTCCTCCCTGTGCCCCCTCTTCCTCTCTCTCCATCTCCCTGACTCTCCCTCTTATCCTGATCCTGATTCTCAACTTCAACTTCACCCTCACCCTGAACCCAACCCAAACTCTATTATTATTATTATTATTACTATTACTATTATTATTATTATTATTATTATTATTATTATTATTATTATTTGAATTTCTATACCGCCCTTCTCCCGAAGGACTCAGGGCGGTGAACAGAATAAGATTTCATATACATATAATAATTTTTTTTTTTATAAACAGTAAATAATAAAGTGAGTCAACTTGGTGTATCTGCTAAGACCTTGGCATAGAATTTAGCTGTTTATGCTAGCCCTGCTTGTTGAAACGGAAAGGTCTTCAGGGCACGTCGGAAAGTGCGAAGATCTGGGATTATTCGTATTCCAGGGGGTATTTTGTTCCAAAGAGTAGGTGCCCCCCCAGAGAAGGCTCTCTCCCTTGGAACTACTAGACGACATTGTTTTAATGATGGTACTGTGAGTAGGCCTACTCTGTGAGAGCGTATTGGTTGGTGGGGGGTTATCGGTTGCAGCAGGTGGTTTCGTAAGTACTCAGGTCCTAAGCCATGGAGCACTTTAAAGGTAAGAACCAACACTACGCTCGCGTAGAAGAGGTGTTACATGTGAGCGCCACTTACCCCACTGACTGCTGGTTACAAAAAAAGGGAAGGTTCCCCAGAGTCCAGGAGCCCCTCTGAAGACCAGCCTGCCCCTTGAGAGGCATCTTCACTCTGATAACTGATAACTGGCAGCAACTGACAGTTTAGCCTGCAGGTGTGAAGTCATAAAGCCACCAGAATCCCCAAGGAGATGACCCACCTCCCTTTATCCTCCTATCAGAGGTCACCGGCTCCACCTTTTCTACCTTCACCAATGCCAGGCAAACAATGCCAGCTGGCTGGGGAATTCTGGGTGTTGAAGTCCACGCATCTTCAGGTGGCCAAGGTTGAGAAACACTGCTATAGAAGCTCTGCTGGATTGACTGAGGAGGACTCATTGGGGCAGCTATAGGTCAACTTCTCATCTGCTTTTATTTTATTTTATTTTATTTTTTTTTTTTGTCCCAGATCCCAATTTGGATTTAAGGTTTAGCCTGCCAGAAGAAATGGAACACAAATGCTGATCTTAAGATATTGGAAAAGTTATATATATATATTGGGGATGTAAAAGTTATGGACAGGTGCAGATCATTTAATATAAGTTTATGGGTTAGAAGAAGGACATTACTTAAACTTTTATATTTTGTTTTAAATTATATTAATCCTATATTAAAGAATGTTTTGTTGAAGATTAAATATAAACTTGTGGGTTATAAGGAAAATATAAGTGGTGCAAGGTGAAAATATGTGTAAAAATTTTTAAAAACTTTTTAATTAAAAAAAAAAGATATTGGAAAGGGTCATTCCTGCCTTGTCTTTCTCTAGTATTTGGGCTTTGGTGTACAGAAGCCAAAGGAGGGTGCCTTCTAATGACGTCTAGTCTAGGGGTCTCCAACCTTGGCAACTTTTAAGACCTGTGGACTTCAACTCCCAGAATTCCTCAGCCAGCAAGCTGTGGAGTTGAAGTCCACAGCTCTTGAAGTTGCCAAGGTTGGAGACCCCTGGTCTAGTCTAATGAAAAGAAGGACTAGGAGTGACTTGAAAGCAGCATTCTAATATTTGAGGGGCTGCCACAAAGAAGAGGGAGACCACCTGTTATCAGAATAGAACAGAATATCAGAGTTGGAAGGGACCTTGGAGGTCTTCTAATCCAACCCCCCCTGCATAAGCAGGAGACCCCATACCATTCTAGACCCTCTATCGTTCTCCAAAGCACCTGAAGACAGGACACAAAGCAATAGAAGGAAATTATTCAAGGAGAGATCCAACTAGAACTAAGGAGAAATTTCCTGACAGTGAGCACACTTAATCAGTGGAACGACTTGCCTCCAGAAACTGGAGGTTTTTAAGAAGAGATTGAACAGCCATTTGTCTGGAATGGCATAGGGTCTCCTGCTTGAGCAGGGGGTTGGACTAGAAGATCTCCAAGGTCCCTTCTAATTCTGTTATTCGTCCAAGGAGAATTACAGAGGGAACTGAGCCATGATTTGGGCCAACTAAGAGCCTTGATAGTACAGTGGTCTAAAGCACCCTGTTATTAAGAACAGCTGCCTGCAATTACTGCAGGTTCGAATCTCCCCAGGCTCAAGGTTGACTCAGCCTTCCATCCTTTCTAAGGTAGGTAAATTGAGGACCCAGTTGTGGGGGCAATAAGCTGACTTTGTATAAAATATACAAAAGAATGAAGGCTATTGCTTAACGCATTGTAAGCCGCCCTGAGTCTCCGGAGAAGGGCGGCATATAAATCAAATTTTTTAAAAAACAAAAAACTAGCCCTAAACAATTAGCAGAAAACTGCCATAATGAGTCTTGTTCAAATGAGTAGCTTAGTGGAGCTTTTTCTCTCTATAAATACTGGTGGGGAGGTGGGGAGTGCTGGCTTTGTTGTTGTAAGCGGATTGGTTGGCTGTGTTGTTACATCTTGATTAGTTGATGGAGTTGATGTTTGCAGATTAGTCGGCTGTTTCGTAACATCCTGGGAGGGTGAGGTCCTAGCTGTGTGCCTATTAGGCTTTTGTGTTGTAACGGCCTGGGTAATGGGCCTTATGGCAGCATCCTGAGCTCCAGTGTTGTGACATCCTGAGTCCTCAGCTGCAACATCCTGGGTAGTTGGCTGTGTTGTAACATCCTGAGCTTTAGTGTTGTAACATCCTGAGTTCTGTGATGTATTGTCTTGAGCAGATGGCTGTGATGCAACATCCTGGGCTTTGGTTTGGCTCCAAGTCTGAGGTCTTGTCATGTGCTCATGGCGTGTGTTAGTTTGCTTTGTGTGGGGATCGGAGGCGGGAGCAGCAGCTGGTGATGCCACCGCGGTCCGGCTCCTGGATTTGCATTTCATCTATGGATGGGATTGGGTTTGAATCTGGTGAGGATGATTGGTGGTGGCGTCATATATTATCCTGGGTCTAGTGTCAATGTTTGTGGTTGGGGCTCATTTGTTGACTAGGACTAGTTTCCAGATGTCTGGTAGGCGGGAGGTAGCGTCACGTTTATTCATGTTATGGGGGTGTTTCTCTATTTCAATGGCTTCCATAATTATTCTCTTGTTGAAGTGTTCAGTTCAAAAGCCATCGAAATAGAGAAACACCCCCCATAACATGAATAAACGTGACACATATGCGTGCCAGAAACCAAGCGGTCAGGTGGCTAATGTGCATGCACATGCCGGAAACCAGAAGAGCAGCCACTCAGCATGTGCATGCGCACAAAGCAGCTGCTCTTCTGGTTTCTGGCACTCCCACGCGCATGAAGATTAGCTGGCTGGCGCATCGGAACCCGTAAGTGCAACGGGCGATGGCTCTGCGTGTCACTTCCGGCACATTTGCCATAGGTTTGTCATCACGACCCTATACCAGAGGTCAGCAACCTGCGGCTCTGGAGCCGGATGTGGCTCTTTCACCCCTCTGCTGCGGCTCCCTGTCACTCAAAATACGTGTCACAACCGCCAGTGTGCGACACCCGCTGGCACGCGATTTATTGAGCTTTTCGATCCCCGGTAGGCCAACCATGGATAAATCCAAGAAAAGAAAAGTTTCAGAAGAAAACAGAACGTTTAATTCAACTACATATGCTAGTTTTGTGGCCACTCAAGAAATAGTCAGGCACGGGAAGGGTTTTGTGGCTCCCGGTGTTTTCTTTTCTGTGGGAAACGGGTCCAAAGGGCTCTTTGAGTGTTTAAGGTTGCAGACCCCTGCCCAGTGGTGGGATTCAGCCAGTTCGCACCACTTCGGGAGAACCGGTTGTTAACTTTCTGAGCAGTTTGGTGAACTGGCTGTTGGAAGAAATCATTTGGGTAGAGAACCGGTTGTTAAATTATTTGAATCCCACCACTGCCCCTGCCCTATACCATTCCAGACAAATGCCTCTCCCATCTTTTCTTCAAAGTGATGGGGCACCCACAACCTCTGAAGGCAATTTGTTCCACTGGTTTACTGTTCTGACTGTCAAGCAATTTCTCCTTAATTCTAGGTTATTTCTCTCATTGATAAATTTCCCTCCATTGCTTCTTGTCCTTGTCTTCAGGTGCTTTGGAGAATAAGTTGACCCCCTTATTCTAAGTCTAAGGAACATTTCTGCCCTTGTTTATACAGCAGCTTCTGAATCTTTTCTTCAAGGCTACCTCCATGCCTCTCTTACATCTCTATTTTCTCTATTATTCAAAAATAATTCCTTTCCTTCACTGACCAAGAGCTGGTAGAAAAAAAGTGGAAGGGATGCCCTTAAACTAACAGGTTAGCTCTGAAGAGCTCTTCCTTGCTAAGAAAATTATTTAACTGGCCCACTATTTGTTTTTTTTTTCTTCACAGCTATAGCCTCTTTCTCGGGTTAAATGCAAGGCCCCATTAAAGGAGGTTTTGAAAGCAATCTGATTGGAACTTGAATGTTTGCCAACATTTTTTTACCGTTTTTTTTAAACAGTAAAAGAAAGAAAAATCACTACAGGTAGTCCTCAGCTTGCAAACACAATGCAGCCCAAAATTTATGTTGCTAAGGGAGACATTTCAGGGGTGAAATGCTCCCGGTTCAGACCGGATCGCCCAATCCGGTAGCGATGGTGGTGGGTGGTTCGGAGAACCGGTAGCAAAAATCCCTGCCCCCCCCCAATGCCCAGCTGAGCCACACAATCATCAGAGGCTTTTTTTTTACTTTTAAAAGCATTTTTTCTTCCACCGAAAAAATGCTTTTAAAAGTAAAAAAAAAAAAAGCCTCTGATGATCGTGCAGCTCAGCTGGGATCGTCAGAGCCTTTTAAAAACATTTTTTTCTACAACCTCTTTACTTTTTTTAAAAGTTAAAAATAAAATTGGCCACGCCCACCCAGTCACATTACCCCACCCCCCACCAAGCCACGCCCACAGAACCGGTAGTAACAAATTTTACATTTCACCACTTGTTAAGTGAGTTTTGCCCCATTTTACGACCTTTCTTGCCACGGTTGTTAAGCAAATCATCCCAGTGGTTCATTTAGTAACTTGGTTGTTAAGTGAATCTGGCTTCACCCATTGATTTTGCTTGTCAGAAGGTCACAAAAGGGGACGACATGGCCTTGGGATATTGTAACCGTCATAAATATGAATCAGTTGTCGAGCGTCTGAATTTTGATCCAATGACCATGGGGATGCTGCAACGGTTGTGCAAACTGCAAACTGCACATCAAAATTCGGGGAAACAAAATGCGCCAGTTTGGTGGACTCTCATAAAATGTCTTAGCTGAACCTCACTAAATTAAGATTTGAATTTGGTGGAGAATAACTTTCCCCCTTGAATGTGTATACAGGTAGTCCTTGACTTACAAAAGCACAATTGGACCAGAATTTCCATTATTAACACATTAACAGATTAACAGAGTTGGAAGGGACCTTGTGGGTCATCTAGTCCAACCCCCGCCCAAGCAGGAGACCCTACACCATTTCTGATAAATGGCAGTCCAGTCTCTTCTTGAAAGCCTCCAGTGATGAAGCTCCCACAACTTCTGAAGGCAACTTCTGTTCCACTGGTTGATAGTTCTCACTGTCAGAAAATTTCTCCTTATCTCCAGGTTGAATCTCCTTGATCAGTTTCCATCCATTATTCCTTGTCTGGCCTTCAAAGGTGCCTTGGAAAACAGGTTGACCCCCCCTCCTCCTCTTTGTGGCAGCCCCTCAAATATTGGAAGACTGCTATCATGTCTCCCCTGGTCCTTCTCTTCACTAGACTAGCCATGGACAGTTCCTGCAACCGTTCATCATATGTTTTAGCCTCCAGTCCCCTAATCATCCTGGTTGCTCTTCTCTGCACTCTTTCTAGAGTCTCAACATCCTTTTTGTAGTGTGGTGACCAAAAATGGATGCAGTACTCTAGGTGTGGCCTTACTAAGGCTTTACAGAGTGGTATTAGTACCTCCCTTGGTCTTGATTGTATCCCTCTGTTAATGCAGTTTAGGATTGCACTGGCTTTTTTGGCTGCCGCTGCACACTGTTGACTCATATTTAATTGGTTGTCCACTAAGACTCCAAGGTCCTTTTCACAGTTACTGCTGTTAAGCCTGGTTTCACCCAGTCTATATGTGTACTTTTGGTTTTTCTTGCCTACGTGTAAGACTTTATTTTTCTCTACATTGAATTTCTCTACACTGAATTTATTAAGGAGGACACTTAAATGAGTCACACCTGATTATTAGGACCTTTTATTGCCGAGGTTGCTGAGTAAATCACTGCAGTTGTTAAGTGAATCATGCCATTGTTAAGTGAATCTGGGTTCCCCCATCGACTTTGCTTGTCGGAAGCCAGCTGGGAACATCACAAATGGCCATCGTGTGAACCTGGAACTCTGCGACCATCATAAATATATCCTGATGGCCAAAGAACCTGAATTTTGATCATGTGACCGTGGGGAATGTTGCGATGGTCGTAAGTGTGAGGACTGGTCACTTTGGGTCAATCACCAGGAGATGGTGAGTTCTAGCCTTGCCTTAGGCATGAAAGCCAGCTGGGTGACTTTGGGCCAGTCACTCTCAGCCCAACTCATCTCACAAGAAAATAAGAGAAGCAGGAAGGTGTGTTGTCTATCTTTGCTGCCATGAGTTATTTGTAAAAATAATAAAGGTGGGATATTGGCTCTACTTACGGTGTCACGAAGGCAAGATTAGCGAAAGTTCTCAAAAGACTTTGAATTTTCCCCCATCCTTCCGAAATTATATCAAAGTGTGCCAGTCTGTGCCGAGCCTTCCCTTATTGGCCAAGCCCTTTACTTCCAGCCCAACAGCTAAATTCTGAATCCCACCAGCCAATTAAGCATTGCTTTGTAGGCTGCTGGTGGTTGAAAGGGACACTTTGAATGGCTCCGAACGCAGCAGGTTGCAAAGACATAATCAGGATGACAGGAACAATTAGCCATTCATAATTCTTTATAGCAGCTGATTAAAATCTCTTTATCCTGCTTACCGAGATCAGAAGGTCACATGGCTAGGAAGTAAAAAAAAAACCCGAATTACTGATCTGGTGATAGATAACCAGATAAAAAGAAGCTGACCTTAGTTCTGACAAATCAAATTCTTTTTTAAAATTTCTCGGTATAATTTCTGCAGGGACACGGTGGCTCAGTGGCTAAGATGCTGAGCTTGTCGATTGAAAGGTCGGCAGTTCAGCGGTTTGAGTCCCTAGTGCTGCGTAACGGGGTGAGCTCCTGTTACTTGTCCCAGCTTCTGCCAACCTAGCAGTTTGAAAGCAGGTAAAAAATGCACGTAGAAAAATAGGGACCACCTTTGGTGGGAAGGGAACAGCATTCCGTGCGCCATTGGCGTTGAGTCATGCCGGCCACATGACCACGGAGACGTCTTCAGACAGCGCTGGCTCTTCGGCTTTGAAACGGAGACGAGCACCACCCCCTAGAGATGGGAACGACTAGCACATATGTGCGAGAGGAACCTTTATCTTTACCTATAATTTCTGTAGACTAATCTACCCGTTCTTGGTTCTATAGAAAAACAAATGGGCTAAAATATATATACATATTTTTAACGCATCCACCCACGCTACTCAACACTTTTCGGTGCCTTCCTGCTTTTGAAAATTACACTGAGCTGTGTAGCTCTTTCTTGATATGTTGCCTTGGTGTTTTTTTAGTTGGCATACATTTGGCTTTTTAAAACCTGTAAAATTCCCAAATGAAAGCAGGTCACCTTATTACTAAATTCATTATGCTCATTTGGGGACTGTCTTGTTTTATGCCTGAAAGTATTTGAAACTTTGGTAACAAATGGAGATCTGCAGAGGGAGTGCCAAAAATAATAAAATATAAAAGAATGAAAGAATGAAAGAATAAAAGAATAAAAGAATATAAAGATAGCAGCTGTAATGCATGACAAAAGCATCAAGGCTTCTTCATGCAGCCATGGCCAACTTCTTGGCTCTTTCAACATTTGAGTAGACACCCAACTTCTTGGATATCTCTTTTTTTTTTTTAATTTGATTTATATGCCGCCCTTCTCCGGAGACTCAGGGCGGCTTACAATGCGTTAAGCAATAGCCTTCATCCTTTTGTATATTTATACAAAGTCAGCTTATTGCCCCCACAAACTGGGTCCTCAATTTACCTACCTTAGAAAGAATGGAAGGCTGAGTCAACCTTGAGCCTTGGCGAGATTTGAACCTGCAGTAATTGCAGGCATCTGGTCTTAATAACCAGCTTAATAACAGGGTGCCTTAGACCACTGTACTACCAAGGCTCTTTTGTCTGAAGCATCACCTCCATGCCTCAGAAATCTCAAGTTTGAGATTGGCTTGGATTTCTGGAATTTGTTGACAGGGAAGCTGCTTTGATGAGTTAAACTCGCTGCTCCTCAGCCTTAAGATGTTCAGCTCAGTGTTTCCTCAACCAACTTTAAGATGAGTGGACTTCAAGAACTAGACTGGAAGTTGAATCATGGCAACTGGACTTCTTTTCTTTCGTGATTTGAAATGTTCCACTGCTTATCCAAGGAACTTCTTCAGCCTGAGGAAGTTGGACAGGGGGATCCTATATATGTCCTCCGGGGTGGATTCATTTTCATCTTAATGCAGAGCTGGCTGGGGAATTCTGGGAGTTGAAGTCCACACATTGTCCAGCGGCCAAGGTTGAGAAACACTGATCTAATGAGTCTATTCCGTTAGGTGGGAAATGAAACTACCCTGGAGGACATACATGGGGTCCCCTTAACCAATGTGCTCAAAATGAAGCTCCTTGGATCAACAGCAAAACGCTTCAAAACAAAAAAGAAAAGAAGTCCTGTTCCCATGACTCAACTTCAGATAACTCTACCTGGATGACTGAAAATCTTAATTGACATTCAGGTCCCAGAATTCCCCACCCGCCATGCTGGAGATGGCGTTGAACTGAACATCTTAAGAACATCTGAATGTTGAGCCAAAGACTGGGTGCTGACATCTTGCATACAATGGCTCTGGTTTAAGCTGGTCTTGGTCAGCAAACATCTCCCTGCTGAATCTCTAGCACGTTTGCTATTTTTTTTTTTATTTGATTTATATGCCGCCCTTCTCCGAAGACTCAGGGCGGCTTACAATGTGCTCAGCAATTTTCATGATGTTCACTTTTAACCTCTCCTACTGAACCTTCTATAGAATAGAATAGAATACAATAGAATAGAATAGAGAATAAAGAATAGAAGAGAATAGAAGAGAATAGAGAATAGAATAGAGAATAGAATAGAGAATAGAATAGAGAATAGAGAATAGAATAGAGAATAGAGAATAGAATAGAATAGAAGAGAGAAGAGAGAAGAGAGAAGAGAAGAGAATAGAGAACAGAGAATAGAATAGAATAGAATAGAATAGAATAAAATAGAATAGAATAGAGAAGAGAGAATATAGAATAGAATAGAATACAGAATAGAGAACAGAGAATAGAATAGAATAGAATAGAAGAGAGAAGAGAGAATAGAGAACAGTGAATAGAATAGAATAGAATAGAATAGAATAGAATAGAATAGAATAGAATAGAATAGAGCTGGAAGGGACCTTGGAGGTCTTCTAGTCCAGCCCACTGCTCAAGCAGGAGACCCTAGACCATTTCAGACAAGTGGCTGTCCAGTCTCTTCTTAAAAACCTCCAGTGATGGGGAGTGCCCATGATTTCTGGTGGCAAGCTGTTCCACTGGTTAATTGTCCTCACTGTTAGGAAGTTTCTCCTTAATTCCAGGTTGCTTCTCTCCTTGATTAGTTTCTAGCCATTGTTTCTTGTCCTGCCCTCAGGTGATTTTGAGAATAAATTGACCTCCTCTTCTTTGTGGCAGCCCCTCAAATATTGGAATACTTCTATCTTATCACTCCTAATTCTTCTTTTCTCTAGACTACCCAAACTCAAATCCTGCAGCCGTCCTTAAGTGTCCGTTAGGGACTGAAAATTGCCCAGAGAAGCTTCATTTATTTTTAGCACTTACATATGTACACTTGCATTTCACATTCCTTCAGTCCTAGGACTGTTTACTCTATTTAAAATGTTTCTCTCTTTTCCCAGCCCACTCCCCGCAGCAGGTTAAGCTTGTGAGTGGGTGGGGGAAAAAAACCTTTGGACCCCCTCTGCCCATTATATTTGTCATTTTTTCCCCCCCAGATGGAGAAAATCTTTTGAGCTTTTCTGCAAAGCCATGGAGCCGGATTGACTTCCTTGAGAAGTATTGTGGAATTGTTGATGTCCACTTAGACCTGATAGCAATAAAACACCCACTCCTCCTTCTCTTTTCAGGCATGGAGGAGATGGCTAGAGAGAGCATCAGCTTGCTAGCAAAGCCATCTCTGGAGTCTGAGAGCCCCCAGCTTTCCTCATCAGGTGCCATCTTCATCTTGCTCAAATCTGCCCTTGGAGCAGGACTCCTGAACTTCCCCTGGGCTTTCAATAAAGCTGGTGGAATGGCCCCAGCGATCTCCGTGGAACTGGTAAGTGCCAATGGAAAGTTCTCCAGATGTCTTGTGGATTGGATTACCTGAGATCTCTTGTCGATTGGACCACCTGAGATCTCTTGTAGATTGTCCACGTGAGATCTCTTGTGGATTGAACTACCTGAGATTGCTTGAGGATTGGATACCTGGGATCGCTTGTGGATTGAACCACCTGAGATCTCTTGTAGATTGGACTGCCTGAGGTCTCTTGTAGATTGGACTACCTGAGATCTCTTGTAGATTGGACTACCTGAGATCTCTTGTGGATTTGTATACCTGAGAGCTCTTGTGGATTGGACCACCTGAGATCTCTTGTAGATTGTATAGCTGAGATCGCTTGTGGATTGAACCACTTGAGATCTCTTGTAGATTGGACCACCTGAGATCTCTTGTAGATTGGACTACCTGAGATCTCTTGTGGATTGTATACCTGAGAGCTCTTGTGGATTGGACCACCTGAGATCTCTTGTAGATTGTATAGCTGAGATCGCTTGTGGATTGAACCACTGAGATCTCTTGTAGATTGGACCACCTGAGATCTCTTGTAGATTGGACCACCTGAGATCTCTTGTAAATTGGACTACCTGA